CACACACACACACACACACACACACACACACACACACACACACACACTTTTTAACTGTTTGTGTGTTTCTGTCTGAGTATTTGTACGAGTATAGATGCCCTGGGAGGTGGGAAGAGGGCATTGCCTCTCCGGACTGGAGTCACAGGACACGGGTGCATGGGAAAGGGATGCAAACCCTTGGCAAGGGCAGTCTGTGCTCTTAACCACCACGCCATGTCTCCAGCCCTAGTCTTGCCTTTGAAGGCTGATACCACTTGCCTTTGGCATGAGGGGATGACCAAGAACGTGAAAAGGCAGACTGGGTCAATATATGACCTCAGCACAGAGGATAAAGACTTGGCACCTTCCAGCTCGAGAGCCGGCAGAGAACAGCTCAGGACATGGGGTCCGTGTCTGCTGTGTGGATCCGTCAGAAGGCCCTCTTCCCACACCACCATTCCCAAGACTTACGCCCCTGTGCTCAAGCTGCGCTGTAGGTTTTTCTCCCTCACAGTCTGAATCTGATCCTGGCAGTCAAGCGGAGGAGACTGACTGAGGAGGGCACATGGATCTGTTTTCAGATTATCTGAAAGCCACGGAGACCTCTGATTGGCAAACTGCATATGAAGTCATCATTTGGTAGTCTACAGGTAGAGTTTCGTGTCGGTTAACATAGACCACCAAAGATAAGCTTTCCTAAAGTCTGTACTAGGAAAAGACTTTAGTAAAATCTTTGCATGTATCTTCAAAATAGTAATTTACTGAAGTAGAGGAAACAATTTCATCCTGTTCCAGATGGCAATGGCTCCTTAGCCAAGCCCCCAAAGGGCTGCCCGGAACCTTGGATAGCCCCCAGCCTGGCATGTGCTATGTTTCTGTGCATGCACATCTTCCGGTGACCAAGTTTACCATAAATCAGAGACACTTACGAATTGACGATAGCTATTAACACAGTTAAGAATTTAAGAATAAGAATTACTGCCGTATAGCATAGTAAAACTGCCGGCTCCGTTACTTGCCCTGCGGGGCCACTGTTACGTAAGGTCAGGGATGCTTGGAAACAGGTAGTGTGACAGGACAGCTGCCATGATAAACGAGGTAGCTGCTAAGTGACCAACAGGCAGATAACGTGAACGACGCGGATGCCCCGGATGAAAGGCTGACCCACACTCTAGGCAGGATGCAGGGGACCGTTTAGAAAGGCTCACGGTTTAAAACACACACACACTGCTGGCTTGTGGAATTCCCCGTTTACTGTTTTTGGGCTGTGGGAGCCCTAGGTAACTGAGACCCAAGGGATTCTCTGTGGTGTCGCCAGGCTTACCACGTAAGTAGCTACCGTTTCACCTTGGTGTTACCTGGTGACCGAGGCTGTCAGAAGAATGCCACTTTCTGGAGAAGCTGGAGGATTTCCTCTGACAAGGCTCCAAGAACAAGGAGATGTTTGTCACTCGACAGTGACCCCGACACTACTCTATACTGCTTTCCAGTGACAGAGCCTTGAAGTTCAGGAAGCATATCTTGGGGTTTCTAATTCTCCTTTCCCTTACCGGGGCACAGGGAAGTGCTCACAGCATATTCTGTATATTGGCTTATACAGAGAAAGTGTTTGTGAAGTGTCCACTCATTATTTGGGGCCCGACTGGAGAACACGGGCCAATGAGTAGACACCATGATCTCATCCAGAAGATTCTGGTCTGGGACAGCACCTTTTCTCTGAAATTTTATGTATGACGCTCCCTTGCTTTTATAGCTCTGCTTTTAAGCCTCAAGTAGCCCACCCCAAGGGAGCTGCCATGTTCAACACAGCCGCTCCTCCAGGGAGGGAGGAGCGTGTCTCCACACACAGTGTGACACGAAAGCCACCCTATCCTACTGTATCCCAACCGGGCTAGTCCTGGAAACTACAAAACACAATCTAAAGGGTACGAGGTGGCACAAGCAATGCACACTCTCTGTGTATATTTCCAGGCCTTTAGGGGAAACAGCTGATATATTAATAAACTTAGATACAACTAGCAAAGAGAAATACTAAACCCAATGTTCCATGAAGTGACTGCTCCAAACCTCCCCATTCCCAGTATTACAGATGAGTAACTTCCGACATTCTAAAGTTGCCTCCATCTTTTCACCTTGACCCAGCTAGGTGTGCAGCAGATGACTGGGTTATAGCTCGCAAATATCATTGTGTCCTGCTGACTACAGCTGTATTGACCCTGGCAACTGCCACTAGATTGATTCTGATGAGTTTATAAAAAGTCTGATTTCTCTCAATAAACTTGTCACAGCCTCAGTCTTGCTGTGGCCCCTCCAGCCCAAGCCTGGCTTGATTTCTCTCCAGCCACATCTGGTAACCTTGGCCCGATAAGTAAGCATGGACACTTACAGCCACTCACTAACCATTCTGTTCAGGGTGAAGTCTGAAGAGTAATGAAA